GTTACAGCAACAGTGTGATTACTGTAAGGGTGGACAGTGCGTGGCTTGGGGTGAGACGGAGGCTGGCGGGCCAGCGGGACCTGCCAAGCTGGAGACGGAGGCCGAGGTGCGCGGGGGTCCTGCCACGCCCTAGGGGGGCATGCTGTCTGCTCCGGCCTCCTCCAACAGAGGCTGGCACGCTGCCTGCTCAGCTGCCTGTGAGCCCCTGTTCACTTCCACGCCTGCTTCGCCACCGCTGCTTGCCACATGGGTGGCCACCAGACCAGCTCCGTGGCTTCCGCTGGAGGCGCAGGTGACTGCCAGAGTGGACACTTCCCAATCGCTGGGCCGGGGCATGGGGCGCCAATGATCCGGGCAGATTCCCTCGCCTGCTCGCCGAGTGGGGAGTAGGTCCGGCCGGATGGCTCCCCAGCCTGAAGCGGGGGATGAGGGTATGTGGCAGGGCGTGTTCTGCGATGCCACTGCAGGTTTGGTGGTGGTAATGTGTATGGCTGGCAGCAGGAAAGCTGCAGCTGTTGAATGTACTATTACAGCAACCGTGCGATTATCGTAAGAATAAATGATGCTGTGAAGTATGAAAATGCCATCCGGTCTGCCGTGGTGGTGATCTTTTTTCTTTTTTTTTTAAATCTCATGTGCATGCAACCAGTAAATTAATTAAAACAAATACTGTTGATAAACTTTAATACAAAAATTACAATTAAAATTCTCAACAACAAAAACAACTGGTAAAAATATAATTGTTATGTAAACAACCCCACGTCACGTGACAGCGCAACACCAAAACATAAGAGGGGGGGTAGAGGGAGAGAAGTGAGTCCAGCGACCTGGCTGTTTCGTCTTTGCTGAAAGCACAGCATTGCAAACGAACAGAACTCAAAGTAAAGAATCGATCTCACCAGGCTAGTATCGATTTGATACCGATGCCGACTTGTTATTGATACTATTGATATTTGGATCGATCCGCCCACCACTGCTGTCAGTCAAACTCGTGCCGTGTCTCCTGTACTGTACAGAATGCATTCAGCTTGTCAAATTTACATAAATCTTCGCTAGCAGAAGACAACAAACACAACAGTGTCGACGTCAACGCCACCTGCCGGTACTCCCTCTGTGACCAGGTTAGCAACGTGAGCTCATCCATCTTATTGGCCAAAGATTTCACGTTTCCAATGATTACAGATGGTCTATAACGTCTCCTTCTCGGGCGATGGTGCTCCCTCCCAGCACGACACCGCCGTCTTTTCTTCCTCAGCTCGCTTGGAATGTCGAGTCTGTCCGCCGGCAGTACCGCAGCGGGACACATTGCTAACAGCTGATCCCTACTGTAAACAAAGGATCCCTGCACTGAGTCTCCAAACACGGGTGAAAAAAGTGGAAAAAAAAACAGACAAAAACGACCAAGACTAGCACAAGACAGTAGAACATGATTGCAGAGTCTAATTGCTAATACTTTAATTATAAAAAATTACGAGAAAATAAAGATGAGAAAGAAAGAAACTCAGAATGAGCGGAGCTGCTGTAACTGGCTGCCACACATGGGGGTCCTGGAAGTATAATTAAGTACAACTGAGTACAAAACAAAGAAATACTTGGAGAACATCACTCAAGGATCTTCGTGTTGTGTTAACCAGTGGGTCCAATTCATCTACTGCATTTTTGTTTGTGTTCATGGATTATTTATGTCCAACTTCGTTCCTTTTTGTTTTACCAAATGTTTGAGTTCATACATTTGGTAAATGTATGACTTTTAACAAGTCATGTGTACCGCGTTTTTAGCACTTTAAGGCACACTTATAATTTGTTAATTTTCTCAAAAATCAACAGTTTCCCTTATAATCCGGTGCAGCTTATGTATGAATTCTGGTTATGCTTACTGATCTCGAACCGATTTTATGTGGTACATGATGCTCAAAATGTTTTAGTACGACTTTGGTAAGATACGAAGCCGTACCACTTGATGGATTGTCGGAGCATTATGGCTACCGTAGTCAGGAGCCTTGCGGAGTAATCTGGGTCCAAAAATCCGTCCTCTTCAGGTCCCAAAGTCAAACGGACACTGCGGCATCACTGAGAGTTAAAAACTGTCTAAATTCTTTCATCTTTAATAAAATGATCAGCGTTGCTCCTTTACCAGGTGTAACAATTAAGTTTAACTTAGGCATCCATGAAAACAGAATTTATTAAATTTAACGGAGTTAGAAGTTAGCAGGAAGTTAGTTCGCTAGTTTCCACCTAAACATGATATACCGCATTTTGCATATCAGCATAAGCATTTGTTAGCAAAGCATTCTTCATTGCATCAGCATGTGTGTGTGTGTGAGTATCACTCTTCATTGCACGAACGTGTGCATGTGTATTTCTGTGTGGATCACTTCTCAGTGAATCAGCATTTCGGTTTAGGTGTGTGTGTCATTTCTCACTCAATCAACGAGTGCACATGTGTTCGGGTGTGTGTTTCTCTTCATTCTGAGTCAGTGTGTGTAGATGTGTGTGTGAGTGTTCATCACTTTCCTGTTCTGGTGTTTTGGGTAAACCACGGCCTGAAGCGTGCCCTGGGGTCCTGCCCTCCTCCTTTTCAGTCTGTTTGTCACCAAACTTCTGCTCAAAGTTCTGTCCATCCTTGTTCTGACCCCAATTGGGGCAGTCCTTTCTCCAATGTCCATGCTCACCGCAGGTAAAACCTGCATCTTCTGTGTTTTGTCTGTTCTGAGGTGGCTTTTGACCTCAGTAGCTCCTTCTGTCTCGGTCACGCCCTTTTTTCTGCTGCCCGATCATGCATGTTGATCCATCACTGCCCTGCACAGTGTTAAACCTGTAGCGTCTACATTACTTACGTAGTCAGCTACTTCCGTTCAACTGATATAAGATGCGGTAAGATGAACACTGCTTCAACCATCTGTTTGTTGAAAAATAGTAACGGACCGCATTTTCTCGTTAGTAACTCTAACGGCATTGTAACGATAGGAATAGTAATTAGTTAGATTACTTGTTACTGAAAAAAGTAACACCGTTAGCGTTACCATCACTGAACACAGGTGAGGCCATAAATGGCAAGAAGTAAACATCCTCATAAGGACAGAAACAGAAGAATGTCTTTGATCATACAGTTTGAACCAAGGCTTACAAATTTAAGTAAAACAATGACAACATTTAACGATTTCAACCTAACACCTACCTTTGAAACTGGGAAATCATTGCAAGGACAGAACCGTAACCACTAGATTAGTTTGCCTTTACCCAATATAGCCTAATATAAAAGGATATTCAGCAAAAAAAGGAAGACTTACCCCTCACTTTTTGCAAGCTTGTAGACAAAGCCTGTAGATAAACATCTTGAGGATGGATAGTTCAGGTACAAAGTAGTTTAAATTTTAGGATGAAGTTACAAATGTTTCAAAACTATTTTGGTTAGAAAATTGAGCAAGTGCAGTGCAGGCCCATTTGAAATGAAAGGTACAATACAATACAACTTTAGCACATTTAAAGACCAGAGGTACACCAAAGTGCTTCTCAATAATACAATAGTATGAAATAAAATTATAAGGTATTTAAACATGTGCTTGGACAGCCAATTCATCTATACATAAACCCCAGTGTTAATGGCCTTCCTCTAAACATAAAATGAAACTGACACTAATCTGATGGAAGCATAGCTGGACTGGCATACCGGGCATTCGCCCGGTGGGCCGATGGTTTTTTGTTGTTGTCTTTTTTCCGTAACGGTGTAAACAGTGAAAGGTGGCGGATTGGACAGATGCTGGCAGATGTGTAAAAATAACTCAATTGTTTGGTAGTGGCTATGGTGGAGCTTTCACAGATTCAGTAAAATTAGCAAGTGGTGGAGGCCAGCAGGTGGATGAGGGAAAGGGAGGCGGAGACACAAAGCTG